GTCCATAAAGTCCTTCAGCTTTTACCTCATTCAGTCTGGCATTGTGAGTGCATCACGACAAGTCAGGGTGTCGACGATTCTTGTCTGCCACGACAGCTCACTTTTCCTCATTTTTCAAAGTATTTTCTTTGAACGCCTCAAGTTGGTCCTTATTTCTTGGCTACAAACCAGGACACTTCACTTTAAAATGGCTGAACTGCTGAGGAGAAGAGGCTGAAGTGCGAACACAGAGCAGTGAACTATGAACAACAGCAGAACACAGCCCTTCAAGCTGTAACACTTTAACAACTTTGAGCTGTTCTAGTTTATTTAAAATCTCCAGCTATCATCTCATCAGGCTGCAAATCATCTCAAACTCCAGACCCATATGAGGAGAGAACCTCCGGGCAGCAGCTCATTTTCAGGGAGCAGTCTCACCTCCGGTTGTGTACAGGAGCCAATCCTGGCAGTCTACAAGAGGTGCATGGCATGCATTTTTGTTTTTAATGACCAGGGGGTGGAGTATTTAAAAATGTTTCCCTGTGCATCTGTCACACGCAGGTGAGTCGAGCACAGAAGAGTTTAGACGGCTCAGACTTGCTCTCCCTCCCAGCTGAGCTGCAGAGTTGACCACAGGAGGCCACGACCTCTCTGCAGGTAAGAACTGGTAATAATCATTTTCAGAGAGACTGCTCACATTTTATCTGCTTTAGATTTGCATGAATATAAATTTCAACTGCAGATTAAAACCTATTGTCATTTTGAAAACAATGGCTGTAATTCAGAGCCATCTGTGCAGAAACATGAGGGAAAATGAAGCTTTCGGCTTTTTGTCGGTTGAGTTCAGTTTCTTTTTTGTTCACAATTGAAGCCATCTTTTTCTCCATTGAAGACTTTGTCACAGCCTGTCCCCAATCCTTTCAGTTGTCTTGGCATCAGCTGCTCCTCTTCTTCTCAATGATTTGTCTAATTAAGGATATCCATATCTAACAATTAGCTGAAAATTCACCCAGAATAAAGAAAAGAAGCATAGATCAGTCAGTTGGGGTGCCTTGTAATGTCACCACGTTCATCCTGCTGATATTCTGAAGATTGTTTTACTCTCCGCTCTTCCAGGAGGAACTAAAAACAGAAAATGGGACGTTGTGGACGAGCATCTCGTTCCATGCTCCACACAGGTTTCCTGCTGGTGGTTCTGTTGTTACCAGGTGACAAGACCTTAACAAGTTTATCATTTGTCTTTGATTTCAGTTTCTGTGACTTATTTTAAAAGCCCCATTTAACAAGAAATGTGTGTGTGTGTGTATGTGTATATAATTTATCTATCTATCTATCTATCTATCTATCTATCTATCTATCTATCTATCTATCTATCTATCTATGTGTGTTTAATTGAAAACAGTCTCATTTTACCTCCATGTTCTTTATTTGTTTCTGTAACATGCATGAACCCTTAATTTAAACATTACTAACTTTTTGGTCATTATGTCTTTATTTTACAAAAAAAAAAAAAAAAAAGAAAGCAAAATTGTAGCAGTTTATCATAATTTTGTGTATGAATTTACATTAAGTGATACAAAAATAGATATGATTGGTCATCATACAGCAATGCATTTTGCCTGTGTAAAGGTTTGCCTTTTTTTGACCCTGTGTTGCATTTAAAGCTGTTCCGATGTTATAACGTGACATCCGACGATGTTCAGTTGGCATTTTTCCAACATTGAAACAGTCCTACAAAGGTTGGTCTTTTTGTCACTAATTATCATGCAGGAGAATTGTTACTAATTGTATTTGTTGTAATTAGTCCAACATAGAAAACAAAGTCAGCTGGAGCTTATTTTCTTGTTGTTTGAACTTAAAATGTGCTATATTTCTAAGATTTATACACTAAAAATGTTGTGAACCATGATAACCCCCAGCAACTTCAGACATTTTTAATAACTTTAAACCTGTTGATCTCACAGATTCTTGTGTTTTATTTAGATCATTGTTGGCTTGAAAATGTTTTGCTGCTTTATTTGTCCTAAATAAATTATGAGTGCTTTAGAATAACCTTAACCTAATGGTCTGCCTTCTGGACAGTAGCCCATTATCTATTACCAGCATTGTAAAGTCATCCTTACTCTTGTCTTTGTAGCAGTAAAACACACCATGGTGAGATCCTTTAGTGCTATAAAAAACTGAACTTGATATAAAGGCACATGAATCTTTGCTCTTGGAAGTATTCCACATTAATAGATATAAATAAGCAGAGGTTTCCACGATAATCAGCTGACATGGCTGTTTTCTTATAGTCATAAAGCTCTGCAGAAACCACCTGAAGTCCTCCCCACCCCCGACCTGGAATCATCTCAGTGTGTTGGTAATTGGCTTGTGTGAGGGCCCACGTCTTTGTAGTTTTACAGGTTAACTGAAACTCCACCAGTCTCCAGTTCAAAGCTACTGTAAAACATATAAAATGCTTGAGGCTGCGTGGAGGCGTGGGGGGATGAAGGAGGGGGGTGTTTATTCTGCAGGATGCTGCCTGTTTTCAGGGCGCCAGAGCTCCGGCACCTGCCGTTTCTTTTACCTGGAGCCTTGTTAGTTGCTCAGCAGTTTCCCTGATGATGATGTGGAGGAAAGCTCAACATCTGGTTCATGTTAGCAAATGTTGCTGCTGCTAATGTGGCTGCCGCTTGTGTTCTTACAGACTTTCTGGGGGCCGTGCCGTTGGAGCAGAACAAGCAGGAGGAAGGTGAGGTCATGTTCTGCGTGGCACGGGAAATTCAGGGGTTGGAAAGTTTAAAAGGAGATGAATCATTCAACATTTTTCAGTCAGGTCATCTGGACAGTTTCTTTTGTGTGCTGAAACGTTTCGCCTTCGATCCGGAAGGCTTCATCAGTCAAGGAAACACACAACAAAACTGATTCTTCCCCCAACAGCTTACTCCAAAGTGGAACAGACCAGTTCTGCTTGTGGTTAGATGGTCTCTTTGGTACGCTCCTCCTCCATTGCCGGCCCTCTTCCTTGTTGACAGTCTTGTCAAACTGGTTGAAAACAACAAAGTCCATGCTCAATAATCCAGGTATAAAATCCAACGTAAAATGTTGGATTTTATACCTGGATTATTGAGCATGGACTTTGTTGAGATGAATCATTGTTTTTGTTGTGTTTGATCTAAAATATGTGCAGCTTCCTGATGTCTCATTACAATTTCCCCACAGACCAAAGGAGGTGAAACAGTTGGTACACACAAATATTAAACATAAATGCTGACATGATAAATATCATCAGTTTGCTGGTTAGTTAATGCAGAAACTCTAGTTTTAAAAGAAAGCTTTTCCATCCATCCATTATCGTTACCTGCTTCTTCCTTTCTGGGTCACGAGGGTCACTGGTGCGCATGTCCAGAAAACCCTGGACAGGTTGTAAGTCCATCACAGGGAGACAAAGAAGACAAACAACCATTCAATCACACCTTGGGACAATTTAGAGTTATCAATCAGACTAACATGCAGGCTTTGGTCTGTCGGAGGAAACCAGAGTACAGCAGTCCCTCATTTATCGCGGGTGTTTTCCACAAGTGAAAAACTGTGAAGTACGGATACAGAAGTTCAAGTTCAGTAAACTTTGTCATGACATGTGCCAGGCTGTAATCACAAACTCATCACCTGTTACGCCCAACCTCCCTCCTTAAATAAACAATTTAAATTGAAATACTGTTACATTTTAAATAAGCAATCCATGCAGCATGGATTATTTATTTTAAACATTACAGTATTTAAATTGTAGAGAAGAGAAGTGCAGCAGGACATCAAAGGGATGTCACGCAGCTTCAGCTCTGCAGCACGGAGCAAAAATGTACTTCTTGATCATTGACACTGAAACAACTGAACATGAAGTTCTAAAACAATTAAAAAATAACTTTTAACACGTTTATATTTTGTGATTATGACGATTTTACGATGTGACATACTTTGAATTTTAAGTTGGAAGACAAAAGTCGATCGGTGCATCTGAACAGCGAAGGGTTAACCCTTCACAAAGCTGATGCAGGAGAAATGTGTGTGCGTGGCAGAGAAGGAGATCAGCTGATCAGCTGCAGGAGGGAGCTTTCCCCTGCACTTGTGGGCTGCACACATGATGCAAAATCATTTAAATAAACAACCCATGGCTCATTCGTCAATCAGCCAATCGTGTCATGTCCAATTTTATTTTGAAAAACCGCGATATAGCGAATATGTGAAAAACAAACTGCGAAGTAGGGAGGGCCTACTGTACCTGGAGAAAACTCACGCATGCATGGAGAGAACATGCAAACATCACCCAGAAAGGCCCCGCAGGCTGGGATTTGAACCAGCAGCCTTCTTGCTGAGAGGCGACAGTTCTACCAGCTGAACCACCGTGCTCCCCAAGAAAGCTTTTAATAAGTGTAATCAACAAGACTTTTTGTACAGCTGCTGAACTCTTATTTTTTTTTTTTTTAGAAACTGTTGAGTCCAAAGAGACTTTTTAAACTAGAAACTGGAACAAACTGCGTTCTTTGTGTTTTGGCTTCAACTTTCAAGGTTTTTTTTTTTTTTAATTCAACCTTTATTTATACAGGTTAGTCTCATTGTAAATGAGTCCTCGTGACTCAGTGAGACTAACCTGTATACTGTAAATAAAGGTTGAATGAAAAAAAAAGCTTGAAAGTTGAAGCCAGCTGTTGCAGTAAACGTTTTGTGTCCTATGTAAATTAATGGGACACATTTTGTTTCTGTTTTTTACCTTTTGCATCCGTCCAGAAGACCTGACTTAACTTTGTTAGATTTTTCTGTCTGGATTATTGAGCATGCGTCAGGACATGTGTAACATTGTTTTAACCTGGAAAAAATAAAATCTCTGAATGTCTCTCTGCCCATACATAAAACTGTCTGAATTCTGAAAGTAATTTTTCAAGATCTGAAATCTGTTTAGTCTCACTTCCAGTATGAATTCTGGCGCAGTGCACAGAAACTTCAGTTCACTTTCTCTGCCGTTCCCAACTCCCCACAGGGGCTGCAGTGTCTGATATGAAAGCTGAGGCTTTGGCCAACTTGAAAAAGCTGGTTCGCAACAGAAGGAACGTCCCCGTCTTGGCTGTGCCCCAGTTCCAACGTGTGCCTGACTTCTGGGGATGGTACAAGTACTTTATGGATGCACACAACCAGGAGGGAGTGAGTGGAGCTTGTTGCACATCAATTATTCAGTTTCTTCCCGTCACAATCATGAATCACTGGATGCATTTTTTAAGAGTTTAATCTAATGTCTTAGACTCTTTTACCGTCAAACTTTGTATAAAGAACAAAAAAAGGCAAATAACAGAGCATGTATTTGCACAGAGGATTTGCATAAAGCCATAAAAAGCTTAATCTAAATTGGTTTAAGCTTGACTTTAGGTCTGTAGATCAGTTTGGATCAGAACTAGGTGTTTTCATTTTAACCCCCCCTCTGATCTATGTTTCAGGTGGAGGACCTTGACCGTTTATACCTGGCCTACTTGCAAAACAAGCACAGGTCCGAGGAAGGACCCACCTTCAATCATTACCTCAAACATCTTAGTGAAATCTACAAAGCTTGTGCTGATTCTGATGATCCAGAATGCATAGCTGAGTCTACCAGCAAGCCAAAAGCAGCTGTGGTCATGCCTGCCTCCATTAGGTCTGGTGCTATCAGGATGTGCAACCCCTACATTGACCCCTACTGCACCTATGCCCTTGATACCAAGGCTGGTGCCCCTGCGCTAGCTCCAGCCAAGGTTCCAGCTCCCATCCTCAGTCCTGTTCAACCCATGTCCATGTCGAGCCCCATGGGGTTCTACCAATACGCCCCCATCCTGGAGCCCTTCCTGAACGCCGAGCAGAGGAATGAGCTGCTCAGGATCTGCCAACCTGAGGATGTGGAATGCCTGCAGTATCACCTGAGATCTGCATACGGGTATCGCCCGGCCTTTGGTCCGGCTCCATCTTATGCTGCGCTCAAATGTGACCCCAAAGACCCCTACTGCACGCCCCGTCTATTCCAGAAGTCTGCTGGGGCGTCACCTAAAGAGCAGCACTGCAACCCTCTCTTTGATGGAGACTGCAACCCTCTGACCGCCACCAGGTTCTCCAGCTTCACCAAACCCATCGTGAAGTACGTCCCCAAGGGTGAGCCAGTTTCTCCTGCTGCTCCTCTGACCTGCGACCCTCGCACCAACCCATACTGCATTCTAGCAGTAGCTGCTGCCCTGCGCAGACCCCCTCCACAGCTCCCCGAACACCAGGTCTGAATCTGAAGTCTTGTTTGAATAGTTTATTTTATCAAGTCCTGTGTAGTCTTACTGAATGGTGTCTCTATTCCTAGCATTTGGTGTATTAAGTAACGTAGTATAATAAAATTTCTATTTATTGATGCTTTCACTTGACCACAAACACAAATAATTCAATCAACCAGGTCCGCTACCAGCTCGGTGTCCGTGGCAAGACCAGGGAGGGCTACGACTGCTTTGTGCACTATGACAAAGACTGCACCCCGGCCAAGTCTGGCTCTGAGGCTTCGTCTACACCCTTCTGCCACCCATACGATCCCAACTGTTTCAAGTTTACCTCACCCTCCAATATTGAGGCCTTAAAGTCCGGTAAGGATGACGTTATCCTTCCAGATCCCGATTGCGACCCTGAGTATGACTACCACTGCCGTTTGCGTCGAGCCAAACCCAGCGCCTCCGCTGATGGTCCAATCCCCGATGAAACAAAGGCTACAAAGGGGGCTGCTGTGCCACGCTTTGAAGACTTCCTCCGAGGTGTCATGAGCCAGCACAAATAAGTTTCAACACCCGCTGCACAGTTGTTCTAGATAGAAATATCTTAGTGTAAGTCTGTGAGGCCAATGAATCATTCACAGCACAAATGAACTTTAAATTAGCAACACAGATTAGAAAATATGGAGGTTTGACTCAAATAAGCAACATAGACAGTCACATTGGTAAAAACTGGAAATCATGTTTGTATAAAATCGATGTTCAGAAGCTTAATAGAATTGGGAGCGTTCTATACTGTTTCTTTCTGTTGTACATTATCTTAAATGTATTTTGTCTGTCGTCTTCTGCTTTTCTCTGTTCATTTAAACATTTTACAGCTTCACCTGTATGGATTTTCTAAGTTCTAAATAAAAAAAGAGACCAAGTGAACTTTATTTATAGAGTCTAAACCATCCACACACCGCAGAAACGTCTGCTCAGCAGGTGAAGAAATAAAATTACAAAATCCAGAGTGTTGCCATACAGACTTTGTCGGAGAATGAGTTTACTCTGTTGTAATTTCAGAGCGTCGGTCTGCAGCTGTTATAACTAACAAACAGCCCGTTCTTGTGCCAGCTGGCATGCAGTGTCGGGCTTTCACTTCAACTGAATTCAAGCAGCTCATTGCTGCACAATTTAATGTCACCGTGTTTTGGTTTTGCGAACCTTCCAATAAGTTGAAGATTAATACTGACAGATTTCAAAATTTTGCATCTGTTCGAGGACAAAGGAGCAAAACAACAAACAGCAGGGTTGAAACCAACATAAACAACAACAAAAAAAGTGAGTTTAATTTCTCAGCCATTTAAGTGCCGGTTGGCTCCAGAATTGTTTTGTGTAGCGATAATACAACTCAGTACTTTGAGTGTACTGGGTAAGTACCTGGTATGTACAAGTAGGGCTATTTATGAAGTGACATGTTACCCTGTACTTAAAGGGTACATACCTGATACTTGACGGGTGTAAACTACAAATGGCACCTGAATATCTCACCCTAAGTCAGGGGTGTCAAACTCATTTACAAAAGGGAGCCAAAATTAAAACCTTGTTCAAACTAAGGGCCAATTTCAGAAACTACATTAACTCGAATCAGATACCCAAGATCATTTCTTGGTCACAAGTTCCTCAACAAGAGTTTGATTAGTCTCATTTGATGTTCGCAGTTGTGCTTTCAACATCATAATCAAAGATTACTGAAAAAAATTCAAGCGATAGAAGTATTTTATATTTCACATAACGTCTTGGGGGCCAGATAAGATGTCACAAGGGCCATATTTGGCCCCCGGGCCTTGAGTTAGACGCATATGCCCTAACTGATCAATTCACACACAAAAAAAATAAAAATAGTGACAATGAAAATGCATTCTCAAATTATTTAGTGTCATTTGTGAATAAAAATGTAATACAAATTAGTTAAGAATCACCACTATACGGCTGGGATTTTCTTTGGGATCTTCTTAAGGTTTAGTCTGGGATTTGTTTTTTGATTCATTTGCAGTAATGAGAAATTGTCACAGAGTAAGCTAATATAATCTTTGGATTCATAAACTGCTGCTGGTACTTTGTATCTCAAAGAGCCTAATGGTTACAGAGCAGACTGGTCATACAGTACGGGCAGCTGTGGTTGAGTGGTTAGAGCAGTCGTCCTCCAATGCAAGAGTTGGGGGTTTGGTTCCACCAGCAATCACTTGCCGACGTGTCCCTAGTCAAGACATTGAACCCCTCATTGCCTCCGAAGTGTGTCCCATCAGTATGAATGTGATAAAGCACTGATTAATGTTTGTAGAGATCTAGTAGAGTGCTGTATGAATGGGTAGATGAGGGCACAGATTGTAGTGTAAAGCACTTTGAGTGTCTTGATAAGATAGAAAGGTACTGTATACAGTCCATTTACCAGCTCTGTCGTATCTGGACTGTTTTCCTGCCAGGCAAGTCAGGTCATAATGGTCTTCTGAAAAGAATTCATTCAACTTTAATATTTTTTAATCATTTTATACGTTAGTCCCATTGAGCCTCGGGAACTCATTTACAAGAGAGACCTGATTTTAACAAAGAATGACGACAACAAGGATTCAAGGTTTTTTTTATGTTGTGGAATGAAATTTTGTACACAGGATCCCAGTTGCATCCAACAAAAGTATAAAATGTAATAGAAAAGCAGTAATAAGATCTGAGATATGAACTAAGAAAAACGTTAATAAAAATACACTAAGCACTAATAGCAAAAAAACATTACGTCGAACAGAAGCACGAACATGAGTCTGTGTGAGCAGATGCGCACGAATGAACACAGCAACATGAAACAGATCAGCAGCAACATGAAACAGATCAGCAGCAACATGAAACAGATCAGCAGCAACATAAAACAGATCAGCAGCAACATGATGAGATTATCCTGGTTAGATGTTCATGAGTCTAACAGCCTCAGGGTAGAAGCTGTTCCTCAGGCTAGTTGTTCTACACTTAATGCTCCTCAACCTCCTTCCTAAGGGGAGCGGGGCAAAAAGTGTGTGTGCTGGGTGAGTGGGGTCCTTCATGATGCAGGTGGCCCTCTTCCTGCATCTGGAGCTGTAGATGTCTGTGATGGTGGGGACTGGGAGGCTGACTCCAACAGTAGGCAACAATAATATACAACAAAGACAACAATAGACCTTCATAAAAGAAAGCATGTAAAACTGAGAAGAATAAATGAAAGAAATTAGTATTTAAAAAAAAAACAACAAAACAAAAACAGCTAGGTTGTAAAGTGATGTAGAAAACTAAAAACAGGAACATGTCTCCATTGGTTTTTGCCATGAACTTAACTGAAGCCACTTAGAGACGTCAAGGTTGAAAGCTTCCAATCCTTTTGCAAGGTGTTCCAAGATACAGGAGTGGAGTGGGAGAAGGCCCTACTAGGACTGAAGTTAGAAAGACGTGACCTCTTCAGTGCTCGCTCTTAACTGAAACTCTAAACACTCACATGTTATCTGGGAGCAGATTTATGTCACACATACACCCAGAGTCTGTTTACACAGTAACACTGTCTGGAAACAATTTTTTTTGATGGTGATAGTGGAAAAAGTCATCAGTTTAGACAGTAATGCAATGCTTTTTAAATCTAATGTAGTTTCCATACCAGACCAGTAGCTGGCGCTGTGATTTTTTTATTTGCACAAAAACAATTTAACTTCCATTACATCTAAAATGGTGGATACGTGCCTCTGGTTTGGACTAAGGAGGTTGAGTTGCTCCTACACATCGAAAAAAGGGTGCGGGCACAAAAAGCACTCTGCAATCCACCACTGTTACTGTAGTTCATCTACTCCCACAAGCACAGAAAAACAATTAGTGTGCAATGTGCAGCTTCACACACATGTTGGGCATTTTTCCAAAAACCTCCTCACAGAGACCTGGATTTTAAAAGGTCCCGATGTTAAGAAAACGATTATGTACAAACGCTGCAGGAATGCACATTCATTTAAAAGCAGCGTAGTGTATCCAGGGTCTCAGAAAGTTTTCAAAACTGCCTTGCTGTGGCAACCAGACAGACTTCTCGGCCTGTTTTAAAGATAAAAATCACACAGCTACCCACAGTAATGAGGACCTGAGCTAAATCTAAATTCTAGAAAGTTCCAGATATTCCCAAGTGTAGCTGCTGGTCAGAGCAGTTGGCGTCTTTCTGCTGCGTCGGGATAAAAATCAGCACAGCACATTAGTTTCTTTTAGACAGATTTGCTCATGAAAACGTTTCCTTTGCTTTTACAGACATTTTTGAGAAGAGTTGTTGTCTCTCTTGTGATAATCCTTTGATTTAATTAGGCTCTGCTTTGTTATAAACTATAAAATTTCCAAATCTCCCCTTCGATTTTTTATATACTACAAATGTGTTTGAGTTTACCTTAAATCTGGACATCAGTGCATGCAATTAGTTTATATATTGAAGTAACACAGTTGTCCTTTAATGTTAGTTTTTACTTTTATCCATCCATCACCTTTACCCGCTTCTTCCTTTGTGGGGGTCGATGGTGGCATGTCCAGCTATCACTGTGAGAGGCGGAGGACATCCTGGACAGGTCTCCAGTCCATCACAGGGACACACAGAGACAAACAACCATTCTCTCTCTCACACCTAGGGACAATTCAGAGTTACCAATCAGCCTAACATGCATGTTTTTGGTCTGTGGGAGGAAACTGGAGTACCTGGAGAAAACCCACGTATGCACGGAGAGAACATGTAAACTCCACACAGAGGCCCCCGGACTGGGATTTGAACCAGGGTAACCTGCTCGCTGAGAGGCAGCAGCTCTAACAACTGCGCCACCGTGCTGCCCTGTTCTTACTTTTATTTATTCACATTTTTGAATTTGAGAATATGATTTAAATTGAATCAGCGCAATGAGTTTGTTGCTGACAATTGTAATTTCTTATACAAGCACATTTTAAAGAACAGTGAACACAGATAACAAATACAAAGAAAACTGATATTACAAAGTAATTGTATAAATAACATTTACACGGTTCATAGCTTTTGTCAAATAAAAAAAGTGGATTAAAATCTTAGTTAGCTTTTTATTGTGTTAAATTGAAATCTATTAAACAAGTGCAGAGCTGCACTTTTAGTCAGAAAAATGACCGACTTAATATTTATTAATTAATTAATTAATTCATTCATTCATTCATTTAAAAGAAACAACACAAATTCATTAAAAAGAAAAAACATTGAATGAAAAGGGTGCAGAAAGAAGGAAAAACATTCTTATAATATATGTCTCTTATTAAAAAAATATATAAAATAACTACAAACAAACAACAACTCAGGCTTGAACAATTTCCAAAGTAAAAACAAAAAATATTAGATATCCTTCACATGGTATCATACTTTCCCAACAACTTTAACTTAATCATCTTTTTAAACATATAGATTGTTTCAGAATATTTATGTTGATATCAAGACAATTCCACAATCCTGTTCCCTGAATTACAACGCAGCTCCTTCAGACCAGTTCTAAATGAAGGTTTTACAAATATTTCCATTCCCTTAAGGTTATAATGACTCTCGTTTTTAACAAATTCTAATTGAATATTTGGCGTTAATATTTTTCACGAGCTTTATACATGACTTGTAAAATACTATATTCAACTAAATCATAAAATTTTAATAATTTCATCTGATGAAATAATATATTTGTTGGGTGACCATAGCACTTCCTACTAATAATTCTTATCGCTCTTTTTTTGTAAAATAAA